GTCTGTTCATGGAAGGTATTAGGCTGTAGTTTTCTTTATTTCCTAGTTTTAGTGTCAGGTTTTGCCTCATGGAATGGTTGGAAGTGTTCCTTCCTCTTCAATTTTGTGGAAGAGTTTGTAGTATTTGTATTATTTCTTCCTGAAACACTTGATAGAATTCAAGAGTGAAGCCAACACAGCCTAAAATTTTCTTTGTGGGAAAGTTTTCAACTACATATTCAATTTTCATAATATAGGGTTATTCTTGTTATTTAATTCTTGAGTAAGCATTGGTATTTTATGACTTTAAGAAATGCGTCCATTTCATCTATGTCACCAAGTTTATTGGCACAAAGTTATTCAGAATATCCCTTCATTATTCTTTTAATGTCTGTAGAACCTGTAATGATGTACCCACTCTTATTGATGTTAATAATCTGTGTTTTCACTTTTTTGCCCTAATAAATCCTGCTAGTGGTTTATCAATGTTTTCATCTTTTCAAAAAAATCACCTACTGGTTTCATTGATTTTTCTCTATTTTTTGTTATTTTCTATTTCATTAATTTTTGCTCTACTTTTTTTCTTGAGTTTAATATGCTGGGTTTTTTCCTAATTTATTCAGTTACAAGCTGATTTCAGACCTTCATTCTTTTCTAATACAAGTGTTTTAATTTGCTGCACCCCAGGTATTTTGATATGCTGTGTTTTCACTTCTGTTTTGTTCAAGATACCTTTTACTTTCATTACCGTTTATTTCTTCTTTACCTATGGATTATTTAAAAGTATGTTGTTTAGTTTCCCAATACTTAGGTATTTTCCACCTATCTTTTGTTATTGATTTCCAATTTAATTTCATGTGGTCAGATATCATGTTTTGTTGGATCTGAATCTTTTCCAACTTGCTAAGACTTTTTATGGCACAGAATATAGTCTGCGTCGGTAAATGTACCATGTGTATTTGAAAATAAAGTTTATTCTTTTGTGGTTAGAGTTCTATAAATGTCAATTCAGTTATATTGGTTAATAATTGTTTGAGCCTTTTATATTCTTACTGGTTATCTGTCGACTTATTTTATCAGTTATCTATCGATGGGTATTGAAATTTTCAACTAAGATTGTTGACTTGTCTGTTTTTCCTTCTAGCTCTAACTTCTTTGCTTTATGTGTTTTGAAGTTCTGTGACTAGATGCATGAACATTTAAGATTTTTATATCTCCTTGATTAGTGAACTGATTATCTTTATCCCTGTTATTTACTCTAAAATATACTTTGCCTGATATTAATATAACCACACAGTTTTTTATATTTGTGTTAGCATGATATATCGTTTTCCATCCTTTTACTTTTGATTGATTGGTTTCTACTATATTTCAAGTGGATTTTGTATAGGCAATATACACTTGGCTCTTGCTTTTTTATTCAATTTGACAATCTCTGCTATTTGATTGTGGTGCTTTAATCATTTATATTTAATACGACTATTGATATGATTTGGTTTTAGTCTACCATCTTGCAATTTGTTTTCTCTTTGCCTCATCTCTTTTTGTGCAATTTTTTTCTCTTCTTCTGCCTTTATTTGCATTGGGTATTTTTTATGACTCCACTTTCTCTCCTTTGTGGACTTGCTAGCCACACATATTTTGTTTTGTGTCGTTTTATTATTTAGTCATTGCTTTTGGGTTTCTAGTATACATGTCAACTTATCTCGGTCTACCTTCAAGTGAAATTATATCTTCAAGTAAAATTAAAATATAAGCATCTTCCAACATTTTGTTTTCATTTCCCCCTCCTGGCTTTTGTGCTATTATTGTTATATATTTTACTTCTATATTTGTTATAAACCCACAATGCATTATTATTTTTACTTTAAATTTTAAAAATAAAACAATTGGCCGGGCGCGGTGGCTCATGCCTGTAATCCCAGCACTTTGGGAGGCCGAGGCGGGTGGATCACAAGGTCAGGAGATCGAGATCACATGAAACCCCGTCTCTACTAAAAATACAAAAAAAAAACTCGCCGGGCGCAGCGGCGGGCGCCTGTAGTCCTAGCTACTCGGGAGGCTGAGGCAGGAGAATAGCGTGAACCCGGGAGATGGAGCTTGCAGTGAGCCGAGATCGCGCCACTGCACTCCAGCCTGGGTGACAGAGCGAGACTCCGTCTCAAAAAATAAATAAATTAATTAAATAAAATAAAATAAATAAATAAATTCTATTTACCTACATTTTTCCCATTTCCAGTGCTCATTATTCTTTTGTGTAGTTTTCTATTTCCAACTGTTGCCATTTTCCTTCTGTCTGGAAGACTTTCTCAAACATTTTTTTGTAGTGCAGGACTCCTGATGATAACTTCTTCTGGTTTTTGTGTACATGAAAAGTGTTTTTATATCACCTTCCGTTTCTAAAGATATTTTCTCTAGGTATGGAATTCCAGCTTGGCAGGTTGTTGTTTCGTTTTGTTTTTTCTTTCAGGGCTTTAAATTGTTGCGCTACTATCTCTTGGCTTGCACTGATTTCAACAAGAACTGTGCTCTCATTTTTCATTCCTTTCATGTGTCTTTTTTCTATGGCTGTTTTTAAGATTTGCTCTTATAATTGGTTTTGGGCAATATTATTTCAATGTGTCTTCATGTAGTTTTCTTTGTATTTCTTTTGCTTGGAATTCATTGAATTTCCTGGATTTATAATTTTCATCAAATTTGTGGATTTATATTTTTCATCAAATTTGTAAAATGTTCAGGTATTATTTCCTCAAATATGTTTTCTTTCCCTTTCCTTTTCCTGTGGGGATGCAAATTGCACATACAAAATGCCATGTGATGTTGTCCCACATCTCACTAACGCTCTGTTTTATTTTTTCCAGTCTTTTTTCTCTATATGTTTCATTTTTGGGTAGTTTCTATTGCTGTGTCTCCAGGTTCACTCATCTTTGCTTCTACATTGTCTAATCTCCTGCTAACCTAGTGTATTCATAATGCGAAATGTATCTTCATTGTTTTATATTTCCCATGTCTCTCCTTACCATGCTCATGTTTTGCTCTACCATGCTGAACAGAGAAATATATTACTAACAGTAATGGCAAAAATCGCAATTACTTTTGCACCAACCTTATAACTGTTTTAATGTCCTTGTCTACTAATTATATCATTTCTGTGTTTGTTTAAATTAATTGATTTTTCTCCTCATTAGGGATTTTTGTTTTGTTTTGTTTTGTTTTGTTTTGTTTTGTTGTTGTTTCTTTCCATGCCTAGCAAATTTTTTTTCAGATGCTAGACATTGTGAATTTTGCCTTGTTGGGTACTGGATATTCCTGTACTTTTTAAATATTCTTCAGGTTTGTTCTTTAACACAATTTAATTACTTGAAAAGTTTGGTTCCTTTGAGGCTTTGATTTTAAAGCTTTAGTAGGAAGAGCCAAAGCATTGTTGTTTAGGGCAGACTTTTTTCCCCCATTACTGAGGTCATACCATTAACACTCTACCTGATGCCCTGTGAATTACCAGGTTTTCCACTCTTGCTGATGAGAAAAGGAACTCTTCTTAGCCCTGTGTGAGTTCCAAAGATTGTTCCCTCTACTCCTTTTGGAGCTTTGTGGTTTTTTTCCCAAATGTACTGAGCTCAGATGAAGACAGGGAATGCAGGGGATCCCCTGCAAAGCCCCAGAACTCTCTCTCCTCCTTGTGCAGCTCTCTCCTGTGACTCTTCCCAGCAAACTCCAGCCTCTTTGGCTCCCCCAGACTTTCACGTCCACTTCCTCAACTCAGAGAGAGTACTGGGTTTTATTGGGCTCCCCCTCCCCGCACTGCAAACTGGAAACTTCCCAGGCAGCTGGCTGTGGCCATGCTGGGCTCACCTTGCTGATTTTCCATTTTCAGGGATCTTCGTCCTGTGCTGCTGTTGTCTGATGTCTGATAATCATGGTTTTGTATATTTTTCCAATTTTTGAGTTGTTTAAGACAGGAGGGTGAAGCTGGTCCTTGTTATACCCTCATGGATGGAAGCATCAGTGTCTTATATGTCATTTTCAGGACTTTGGGTTTTACTCTGAGTGAAATGGGAGGCATATGGGTGGATTTTGAGTGGCATGATCTGACATGCATCCCTCCCATGGTAGGACAAATGAATGGGTAAAATATTGAGAGACGAACTGTCTTCTGATATACCACAGAATTTACTGATTTGATTTGCTGACTTTACCTCATTCACTGATGCATCTCAGGAGCCTAGAACATGTCCCACCCATGGTAGGCACCTGGGAAGTGGGTACTGAGAGTGAACAAATGAATAAGGTCAGGAAGTGGGTGGAGCAGGAGCCTGTTCCTGCCCCAGGAGCCCACGGGCAGGAGTTGTGATGGGCGACCAGGTTTGGGCCACATCCCTGAATGGAAGGACATGGTCTCTTTTGGCCCCTTACAGCCACTAACACAGCCTGAGATAGTGCTTTCCCCACATTTGCAAGAGAAGAGGAAGGAGAGGAGAAGGCAGAGGCCAGCTTAGAGGAAGGGGAGGAGAAGGCAGAGGCCAGCTTAGAGGAAGGAGAGGAGGCCTTCCTTGGAGGCCCCTGCATCCTCCCTTGCTCTGTTCTCACTGCTCCTGCAGCTCCCCTGCTCCCCTCAGGGACTTCCCCAGTGATGTCTGGGTGACCGGAGCAGTCTCACATGTGGTCAGAATGAGATTGGCTCTCTCGAGTCAAGAGCCTGAGCTAGGGATGCCATACCCTGAACCCTGCAACGTCCCACCAGCCATGTCTGTCTCGAACCCAACCTCAGAGCCTGACACTTGCTGGGAGGTCAGGCCCCACCAGGCCTACAGGTGATGCTGCCTACTCAACAGTGTCCCTGAGACCTCGAGACTCCTGCCCTCCTCCAAGGGCCCAGCCAGTCCATTGAATGGAAGGACAAACACATGGAAAGATGTAGCTGAGCCCCATGGAAGCCAATGCTGCGCTCAGCACCCCCTGTACTAACGCAGAAATACACACACATTCAGACGCTGACACCCAGGGTCCCTCCTCCATTTCAGAATCTCCCTCCCTGTCTCCACATCCACGAAGGACTCATCTTGCATGAAGGCACCCCAGGACTCTGCCTGCAGGGACAGATGGTCACACCCCACCACCATCCTGCTTCACAAGTCGCAGAGCAACCAGGCCGCACTGATGCCACAGGAGCACGGGATGTTCATGGCGGAGGTCTACAGTGCAGGTGACTGCCAGCCCTGTGCTCAGACAGGCAGAGGTGGGTCGGCCCAGATGGGGTCAGGCTCCAGCAGACCCCATGTCCCTCCACCAACAGCAGTCCTGAGGGTGACGACCAGAGGGAGTCTCTGCTCCAGGACCTTGAGGGTATCAAGTGGTGCAGATATAGTGAAGCTTTCAGCAGAGAACCCTGCACACACGACTTGGCCTCTTCATGCCTCCTGAAGCCACATCCAAAGCCCAAATGATGCCCCAGCTCACCCTATACCCCACCTCCGCTATCCTCCCATTCCCTTTCATACCTCAGAACCACAGTCCAGGCCTGGCCCCTCCCTTATTCAAACACCATTGAATGACTGGACAGATGGTGAGAGGATAGGATGGATGGGAGGATGGAGGGATGAATTCATGACTGGTTGGGTGGGTGAATAAATTTATGAATAGCTGAATGTTGGGTGGATGGGCAGGTAGATGAATGGAAAGATAGATGAGCAGGTGGATTAGTAGATGGAAGGATGGACAGATGGAACGTGTAGGTGGATGGACAGATGGCTGGATGGACAGGTGGATGAGTGGACGATGGGCAGATGGGAATATGAATGGTGAGTGAGGACATGCTCACGCACCTGCACTCCTGCTCCTTACCTATGTTGAACCCCAGAAAGTCCATTTGGACAGTCAGGAGGTCCTGGACTTCTCATGCATCCATTCCCCAGTTCTCATTTTCGGAGTACTCCTTCCATCCCCAGACCCACCTCCTGCCCGCCCAGCCTGGCTGCCACGGTGTGAGCTACCCACAGCCCACAGCCTGCTCACACGTGCCTTCTTGCCAACCTTAGCTACCTGCCTCAAGATGCTGCAGGACATGAATAGTGCCGACCTCTTCCACTTGAAGTACATCATCAAGAAGATCAAGAACATGGCTCGTGGTTCCCCCAAGCTGGTGATGGAAACCATCCACGACTACTTCATAGACAACCCGGAGGTGGGGACAGCTTGGGCCACTGGGGCAGGCACAGGGGGCAGAGCGGGAGGGTGGGACCCCAAGGTGGGCTCAAACCCTGGATCCTGCCTAGAACAGCTACATGACTTGAGGCAAGTCTCAGTTTCCTCACATGTCAAATGGGCCAAGTGGGGAGGGAGAAACACTGGACCTGCATGCATTGACAACCCTCGGAATGCGCTCATGAGGTGGTGATCCTGACCCTCACAGGTGGAGAAACTAAGGCATAGGGAGGCCAAGGGATTTGCCTGGACTCATAGAACCATGAAGTGGCAGAGATAAATGACTCCTCTCACACCGCTCCCGTCCACGCCCGTGCCCACATCTCCCACACGATCTGACCTGTTCTGTCCCCAAGCCACCGTTGCTCTGCCATCCACAGATCTCCAGCAGGCACAAGTTCCGGCTGTTCCAGACCCTGGAGATGGTCATCAGGGCCAGTGACGTCCTGGAGGAGACCTGGGAGAAAACCTTCATGCAGCTCGCCCTGGAGAACATGACCAAGGCCACGGTGGGCCTCCCCTCCCCCAGCAAGTGGGCCAACCTCCCACGAGTTCTGGGAATGCCAGCAGCTGCCCCAGGGACCCAAGTGATGCTAGGCGTGCCCAGCCTTGTGAAGCTATTTCCATCCAGTGACTCGCGTTCTCACCCCTAGCCCTTCAGCGGGACAATCACACTTTTCCATCTCACTTTCCCATGTCAGGAAGGTGAGGCTCAAGAGAGCATTGTTTGTCTGAGGCCAAGGGGCCCATAAGTGGGGGGCCCTCTCCTCCAAGGAGGTCTCTCCCTGCAGCAGGCTATGGCTCCCCTCTGCACCACCTTCCTCACCATTGCATGGCAGCTGCCTGCAGCCCAGCCTCTGGAAGGACTGCTGCAAGTCTAACCCAGGCTGCAGGCTATAACTCTGCCCTTGGCCTCCTGGGTTCTGCTCGATGGAGACTTGGGGGTCTGGACCTGAACTACCCACACTCACCCCACCCCACCCCACCCCACCTGCAGCTTGCAGTCCGAGAGCCGGCCCTGGCCGCCAAGTCTCCACTCCAAGGTGGCTTAGACTGACTAGGCCAGAGCGGCCCCAGGGGACACCTTAATACACACACACCAGGGTGCCCCACGAAGCAGGAGTAGATACCATTTACCCTCCGTGTGGTGCCGAGTCTTAGTTCATGTGATCACGCAGGAGGCAAAGGCCACTGAAAGTTCTTTAATACTCAAAGCTCTTCCCAAAGCGGGAGGCACAGCACAGTACACCCCACAGGGCCACACAGGCCTGTCCCACACAGGCTCAGGAAGCAGATGAGGGACCATCTGAACATGCCTTCAGGGCCATGGTGGCAGGAAGTAACGAAGTAGAGACATCCCCTAGGAGCTACAGGGACACTGGCAGGTTGGCGGCACTGTAACGGGACTTCCATACTCCCCAAAAGATGTAAGCAGCTTCGGCTGCTCACCTGGCCCTACGATTCAGCAAACTCAAGGAGAGGTTATTAGGAATAACAGACATCAAACAGCCAGCGCAGGGCCTACAAGCGTGACCAATGCACCCTCCACACAGGGGTTTGTGGCCCCATTTACCAATGGAGAGGCTTAGGGACTGGCCTGCAGTCACAGCCCAGCTGGTGGGCGGCAGGTGGGACACGCCCCTGTGCTCCCCCAGAGAAGTGAATGAGGCCACCCTAAGTGTGAGAGACAGAAAAACGGGGAGCAAGGGCCATGTCCACTTAGTCCTTTTTTCCACCTCATTTCTTTTTCTTTTGGAATCCTAAGCGTGTGTTTGTCACACTCACCCTTGTGAAGTCTATCAGGCATCTCTGCAGTTTACAGATCAACGATCCTAGGCAGCTGGGGTTGGGGAGCAGTGTCCCCAGGGAGGCGAGGGCTTCGGGACACTCTCAGGGGTGTGGTCTGGCCTCAGCCTCTCTGAGGGTGGACAAGACCCCCTGGGGCTTCATGAGGAGGGGCCCTGCACGGAGTCTGGCATGAACGAGGCCAGAACCGTCTACATTTCTGCTTCTGAACACACCGCAGCCCCACTCCAGCCCCCAGAGTAAGTGGACACTTCTGCGGGTCCTACCCACCACCTGGGGCACAGAGGGGCATCAGGCACTGTCACCTAGGTCAGGACCAGCCAAACTCAAACAATCTTCCAGCCCAGCATGGAGCTTGGGGTCAGCAGGGACCAGCCTGGCCCCACACTCCTGTTGCCCTGCCCCGGTGGGGGGACTGTGTTTCCTACACCCTGTCTCCCCTTTCGTGATTTACTCTTAAACCAGACACAGACTTAGGCTTCTTGGAGGTGGCTTCTTGGGCAAGGGCTTTAGGGAAGTAAGATTCTGAGCCTGTGCATTTCCAGAAATCTCTGGATTCGATTTCACACTGGACTGTGGGTTGGCAACCGCTGTCCATTGTCCTCTGGCCTTCATGGCTGTCGAGGATCCAGGGTCACTCTGAACCATGATCCTTCACATGCGACCTGCTGTCTGCTGGGGAGCTCGGGCTGGTGGAGTCTTTGCCCTGCCCATTCCACAGGAGTGGAATTTGCTCTGGGTCCAGAATTAGCCACCAGGCTTTAAGGTCACGTATCCTTTCCATCTGGCTACCTGAGCCCTTGGTTCCACCGTAGAGTGACCAGGTGAGCCCACTGCTGCCACCCTCACCCAGTTACGTCAGTGTCTCTCTGTCTTCCCTTCTGTGCTCTGAGGATTCCCAGGGAGACGCTCACCCGGGGGCCCTGCCTAGAGATCAGGGTCCCATCCCACGGCAGTCATGCCAGGCCTGGCCTGGAAAGTGAGTATTCCTGGAGCTTACGGGCCTGGCAACCCCTGGACGGAGACACTCATCTGCCCCCTCCAGAGACTGAGACCCCAGACTCTTGCTGGGGTGGGAGAGGGCCGGCTCCCGCCGTGTGTGCAGAGTGTGGGAGGTACATCGAGGGACTCAACTACTTCTAAAACCATGTCACCTTTAGTTTCAGCCCCCTCCACTGCCACTCCAGTTCCAGAGGTTGGGAGACAAGAGACCCCCTAACTTCAAATAGTGGGGGATGGTGCCATGTGGGTGAGCTGGCCTTGGCCTCTGCTCCACTAGCCTATACAAGGTCTTCAGTCCCCTCACCTACCTGCTTCCCGCTTCCACAGTGTGGTTATTATTATCCCTTTTAAAAAAATCTCCTGAATGTAGTGTTAACTGAGGTAGGTTTTTAGAAAGAGCAAAATCAGATTCAATCACCATCTTCACAAGAAGCCCCCATAACCATACTTACCATGATCTATAAATGATATATCCATTTCACGCGGTGATTCAAGCTGCATGGCGGGGCTCAGACACCCCCACTTTCAGACGCCCTCAAGTGCAGGCAGGCCTCCTCTTCACCTGCCTCAGAGCCACAGAAGCTGCCTTATGGCTCCTATGAAGACAGAGAAAAGAGTAGACGTCAAAATTGCAGCAAGATGTAAAGGGAGAAAGGTCCCAGGTATGACCACACAGAGCCGGACTCCGGGCCCGTGTGGTTCCTTCCTGCTGAAGATGCCCCGCCGCTGGACACTTGGGGCTGGGCCCAGGTCAGGGAGGCCAGGGACCCAGTCAGCATCGTTCTGCCCTTGAGCAGCTGACTCCCTGGCTCTCCTGGACAGGAACGTAGCCTCTGGTTCTGAATTCATGGTGAAAAAATTAAAGGATGTGACGTCCTGAGCCGCCAGGAGCTCAGGAGGAGAGGTGATGTGGGCTGGGGTTTCAGGATGAGCGCCCTGAACTCAGGCCGTGGAGGGGGCTCTAGGTGGAAGTGGAGGTGCAGGCAGGCACACAGCGTGAGCAAGGGCTCAGAGGCAGGGAGGAAGAGGAGGAGGTGCTCTGGAAATGGACGCAGACCAGGAAGGCCTCAGGCTCCCTCAGCCTCAGTTTTCTACCAAAAGAAACATGGGCTGTGTGGCCGGGCGTGGTGGCTCAAGCCTGTAATCCCAGCACTTTGGGAGGCCGAGACGGGCAGATCACGAGCTCAGGAGATCGAGACCATCGCGGCTAACACTGTGAAACCCCGTCTCTACTAAAAAAATACAAAAAAACTAGCTGAGCCAGGTGGCGGGCGCCTGTAGTCCCAGCTACTCGGGAGGCTGAGGCAGGAGAATGGCGTAAACCCGGGAGGCGGAACTTGTAGTGAGCCGAGATCCGGCCACTGCACTCCAGCCTGGGCGACAGAGCGAGACTCCGTCTCAAAAAAGAAAAAAAAAAAGAAACATGGACTGTGGCAGCTGTCCTGCCCCCTCAAACCAGCCCTGGCATGTGAAAAAGCGAGGTCTCAGAACAAGCTGCTCTTACTCTACCTCCCACCCTGCCTGCTCCCACCCCACCCCAGGAGCTGGAAGACATATACCAGGACGCGGCCAGCAACGTGCTGGTGGCCATCTGCAGGCACTCGTGGCGGGCAGTGGCACAGCATCTGGAGACGGAGCTCCTGACGGGCGTCTTCCCACACCGCAGCCTCCTCTATGTGATGGGCGTCCTGTCTTCCAGTGGTATGTCGGGCGCGAGGTTGCGGACAGGGTGGGGTGGGTCATAGAGAGTGATTCAAGAGGTGGCTTTGAGACCCCACATGGGCAGGGCACAGGGGCTGCATGTCACTTGTGCACCGTGAGGTAACTTAGTGCCTGGCAGCAACAGGCTGCTGCTCCGAGGACCCCCATTGCCCACCACCCCTCAGAGGGCCCAGGCCATGCTCAAGACCTCCCTGGAAAGCGCAACACCAGGCCCAGCCGTGTCAGCCCCTCTGATGGCTCACCCACTCCTGCTGCCAGCATTGCAACAGCTGGACCTGGGCGGAGCCAGGATGATAGAGGAGGTCCCGGGAGGTGGCCCAGGACAGGTGTGAGGCTGGCACATGGCCGAGCAATTCCACCGCCAGCTGCTGCATGTCTCCTCCCTTGGTCACAAAAGGCAGGTGGGCCCTCCTCCCCGGGCAGATGAAGAGATGGAGCTCAGAGAGGCGGCATGGCCGGCCAGGGCCACTCCCAGCCTGTTATAGCCTGCAGTGTCTGGGCCTTGCGTCCACCACAGCCGCTGCCTCCAAGCTGTCGGAAGGGCCGGCCCAGACAGTGTGGCCTCTGAGGACCCCAGAGGAAGGATGTTCAGGGAGTTGCTGACACAAAATAGCAAACACTGACTGAGCACCTACCTAATGCCAGGCTCCCAGCCACACAGAGGCAAGGGCCAGCCTTCATTCATTCACTCATTCATTCACAACCATATGCTGCTGCACTTCCCACTGGGAGATGCAGGGCTGCCTTGAGGGCAGCTGGGAGAGCCCAGAGAGGAGACGGACCAACTGCCCTGGGGCCATCAAGGAGGGCTTCCTGGAGGAGGCAGCCAGTATAGGCCACATCTAGATGGATGCATAGGAGGGTGAGGAGGGAAGCTCCCTCTGCCAAGGGCTTTCAGGAAGAGTTGGTCGGCAGCCACAGTGAGGGGTGGGGTTGGGGTGTGGCAGGGCCTGTGACCTGCAGGGAGGCCCAGCCCCAGCAGGAGTGTTTGGACCCTAAGACCGGGGGTGAAGCAGGACCCTGCTTGGCTTGGCCTTACACCCCCGACGCCAGGATTAGCAGGCTGGGTAGAGGTCCCTCTGCACCCTGGGGGTACTGCTGAGGCCACCAGATCCCTCCCCAAAGCAGCCTCTCCCTCTGGGGTAAGTTCCAAAGTTCCTGAAAAGCTCTCCACTCTTACAATGCCTCCCTCCCAAAGACTTATTTTCCCACTCTTGAGGGGCCATGCTTGGTAGTGCCCCTCCATTCACCATGAGTGAGCCCGAGGCCCGGAGAGGGAGCCCAGCCCACCTGAGGACACACAGTAAGGGCAGCACGGCTGCAAACCCACCCCAGCTCTCTGAACCCAGAGCCAAGCCTGGCTCACGTCCCTTCAGCTCCCACGCCCCACAGAGCTAGGGTTGGCAGAGGCCAGCAGCATCAGCCCAGGCCAGCGCTAAAGGCAGGAGGAGACGGTTGTTAGACAGGGTCCTATGACCCATCCCTCCTCTCACAGAGGAGCTCTTCAGCCAGGAAGACAAGGCCTGCTGGGAAGAGCAACTGATCCAGGTAAGGAGGCAGCCCAGCTCCCAGTCACCAGGCCTTCTGTGGGGGCAACAGGGGAGAGGCAGCAGGATGGGTGCCTGGGAGGAAGGGTAGGTGGAAGGAGGGAGGAGGAAGGGAAGGCAAAGGGAGAGAGAAAGGGAGGGAAAGGAGGAAGAGAGGATAGTAGGGAGACAGGGAAGATGGGAGGAAGGAGGGCATGTGGGGGAGGAAGGAGGGAGGAATGAGAGGGAGGGGAAAAAGAAGGAAGGGAAGGCAAGAAATGGGGATGGAAGGGGAGGGAGGAAGATGGGGGAACAAGAGGGAGCAGGGAGGTAGGGAGGGAGGACCTCTACTTTGCAGATGAGCACACAAGTCTGGAAAAGGGAGGGGACCGCAGTCACAGGGCTGGTAACTGCGGCACTGGGATTGGGGAGGAGACCACAGTCACTGGGCCGGTCACTGTGGCACTGGGATTGGGGAGGGGACTACAGTCACTGGGCCAGTCACTGAGGCATCAGGATTCAAACCTCGGTCTCCACATGCCTGGCTCAGAGCACATACCCAACACACTGGGCCAGAGCTGTGGACCTGGAAGGAAGGAAGCAGGTTGGGGTGGACGGAGGGAGCCCCAGCCAAGAAACAGAGTCCGTGCAGGCCCATCCCTGAACACACACCCGCGTAAGTGAGGGTCTGACATGGCTGAGGGAGGGGACATGAGACTCCCGTCCCCTGGATCCAAGTCCATATTCAACCAATCACCAGTCTGTGACCTGGGGGGACCCACTTCACCTCTCAGTACCTTAGTTTCCTCATCTGTCAAATGGGAATCCAAGCACTTCACTCAAATGGTGGGTATGACGAGTATACGAGGTAATCCATGTAAAGTGTCGGGCACCATGCCAGTGACATAGGAAGCCCTCGCTAATGTCATTATTGTTCCATGGTAAGAGTTGTAGTGGTAGTGACAGGAGCAGCAGCGGTGGCGGCAGGAGAATACTTGGAATGGAGCGGTATCCAATAGAAGTAGCACCAGCAGCAACACAAGCAATTAATAGAACAAGAAGACAAAAAATCACTAAGGATAGAGAAAACTTGAACAATACATTAACCAAATTCATCTAATAAAGTGCAAACAAAATATTCGCCAGGGGATGTGGCAGGAAGTGGGGATGGTTAATGAGTACAAAAAATAGGAAGAATGAATAAGATCTACTATTTGCTAGCACAAAAGGGTGACTATAGTCCATTATTTAACTGTAGATTTTAAAATAACTGAAAGAGGCTGGGTGTGGTGGCTCACCCCTGTAATCCCAGCACTTTGGGAGGCTGAGATGAGCAGATCACTTGAGGTCAGGAGTTTGAGACCAGCCTGGCCAATACGGCGAAACCCCATCTCTACTAAAAATACAAAAACTAGTCCAGGGTTCTGGGACATGCCTGTAATCCCAGCTACTTGGGAGGCTGATGTGGGAGAATCACTTGAAACCGGGAAGCAGAGGTTACAGTGAGTCAAGATCATGCCACTGCACTCTAGCCTGGGCAATAGAGCAAGACTCTACCTTAAAATAAAGTAAAAGAGGGCCGAGCACAGTGGCTTATGCCTGTAATCCCAGCACTTTGGGAGACTGAGGCCGGCGGATCACCTGAGGTCAGGAGTTCAAGGCCAGCCTGTCCAACATGAGGAAACCCCGTCTCTACTAAAAAATACAAAAATTAGCCAGGCGTGGTGACATGCACCTGTAGTCCCAGCTACTTAAGAAGCTGAGACAGAGAACGGCTTGACCCAGGAGGTGGAGGTTGCAATGACCCAAGATCGTGCCATTGCACTCTAGCCTGGGCAACAGAGTGAGACCCTGTCTTAAAAAATAATAATAAAATAAAATAAAAGAGTACAATTGGATTGTTTGTAACACAAAGGATAAACGCTTGAGGTGACGGATACCTCATTTACCCTGATGTGATTATTGCACATTGCATGCCTGTAGTAAAATATCCCATATACCCCATAAATTTATATATGTACTATATACTTACAAAAATTTAAAATATTAAATTTTTTTAAAAATCACCACGATAGACCATATGCTGAGCCATATATCAAGTTCCAACAAATTTAAAACAGCTGTAATCAGAGTACATTCTGTGACCAAAATACAAATTAGAGTTCAATATGAAATATATCTGGAGAAACTTCAAATCCTTGGAAATTAAACAACACATTTCTAAATAACCCATCAGTCAAAGAAGAAATCATAAAGAAAGTTAGAAACTATTTTGAACTGAATGATAATGAAACACAATATATGAAAATCAGATGAAAATCTGTGGGATGCAGTAAAAAGCAATACCTAGAAAGAAATTTATATTTTATTGCCTATATTAGAAAAGAAGAAAGGTATAAAATCAATTATCTAAGCCTCCATTTTAAGAAGCTAGACAAAAAATGAGCAGATAATAAACTCAGAGTAAGTAGAAGGAAGGAATAACAAAAGCTAGAGCAGAAATCAAAGAAACAAAAAGAGACAAACAACAGAGAATGACTGGAACAAAAAGATCAATACATTGAGCCAGATACCATGGCTTACGCCTGTAATGCCAGCTACTCTGGAGGCTGAGGCAAATGGACTGCTTGAGGCCAGGAGCTCAAGACCAACCTGAACAACGTAGTAAGACCCTGTCTCTAAAAAACTTATATTGGGGTTGAATATGAGATTAAAAAAAAAAAAAAAAAACTTCTAAAAATTATCCAGGCATAGTAGCTTATACCTGTAGTCCAGCTACTCATGAGGCTAAAGGCAGAAGGGTCACTTGAGCCCAGGAGTACAAGGCTGCAGTGAGCTAGGATCAAACCACTGCACTCCAGCCTGGGCAACAGAGCAAGACCAATCTCTATTTAAAAAATGATAAATAAATAAATAAATTGATAAACCCCTCACTAGACTGATCAAAAAGAGAGAAAACACAAAATACCAATTTCAGAAAGGAATAAAGAACAACATGACAAATCCTTCAGACTTTAAAAATCATAATGAAATATTCAATAAATTAGATAATTTAGATTGAATAGACAAATTCTCTAAAAAATACATGTTACCAAGCTGAAATGAGAAGAAACAAAAAATGAATAGTCCTATATCTATTAAAGAAATTGAAATCATAATTTAAAACATTCTCACTAAGAAAACTTCAAACTCAGACACTTCACTGTGAACTCTATCAAAAAGTTAGAAAAGAAATAGTACTAATTCTACACAAATTTTTTCAAGAGAATAGAGGAGGAAGGAATAACTTCCTAAATCATTTTATGAGGGCTACACAACCCAAAGACATTACAAAAAAAAGAAAGAAAACTAAAGACCAATATATTTGATGAAAATAGACTCAAAAATCTTTTTTTTTTTCTTTTTGAGACAGTCTCGCTCTGTTGCTGGAGGCACGTGCCAGGCTGCAATGGCACAATCTCAGCTCACTGCAACCTCTGCCTCCTGGGTTCAAGTGATTCCCCTGCCTCAGCCTCCCAAGTAGCTAGGACTACAGGCACACACCACCACACCCAGCTAATTTTTGTATTTTTTTTTTTTTTTTTAGTAGAAATGAGGTTTCACTATGTTGGCCAGGATGACCTCAATCTCTTGACCTCATGATCTGCCCGCCTTGGCCTCCCAAAGTGCTGGGATTACAGGCGAGAGCCACCATGCCTGCCTGAAAATAGACTCAAAAATATTAACAAAATATTAACAAATGGAATAAAAGGATAATACACCATGATCAGGAGGGTTTATCCCAGGGACACAAAGCCAATTCAACATTTGAAAAGCAATAAGTGCAATTCAACACAGTAACAGAATAAAGTAGAAAAAGTTTGATCATATTTATAAAAAATGATATGGAAAAAGCATCTGATAGAATTCAATATCTGTTCATGATAAAAGCTCTCAACAAACTAGGAGTAGAAGAAAACTACCTCAATGTGACAATGGACATCTAAAGCTACAGTTAACACACTTAATGATCAAAGACCAAACACTTTCCCACTAAGATCAGGAATAAAGCAAAGGTGTCCTTTCTCTCCACTTCCACTCAACACTACACTGAAGTTGCTAGCCAATGCAATAAGGTAAGAAAAAGGAGAAGGGAAAAAAGACATAGAGATTGCAATTGAAAAAGTAAAACTATCTCTTTTGTAGACAATGTGACTATACACCTAGAAAATCTTACAGAACCATATTTAAAATACTAGAACTAATATTTACTAATACTTGGATTTAGCAAGATCTCAGGATACAAGATCAATATACAAAAATCAATTGAACTATATATTGGTGACAAACAATTAGAAAATAAAATTTTTCTTAAAAAAGACATTTTCAGCAGCATTAAAGATATAAAAGACTCAAAGATAAATGCAACAAAATATATGCAATATTGTTACAAAGCATTGCAAAAAGAAATTAAAACAACCCTTAAGAAATGGAGACATATGGTGTTTGTGGACAAAATTATTCAATAATAGTAAGATGTCAGTTCTCCCAAAATTGATTTGTAGATTGAATGCAATGCCAATCAGTCTCAGAAAATTGTGTTGTAGTATTAAATATAAGCTATAGAATAAATTTTTATAAAGAAATTTTAAAGAACCTAGAATAGCCAAAACAATTATGAAAAAGAATAAAATTGCAAGAAATCTGCTACTTGATTTCAAGACTTACTACAGGGCTACAGCAAACAAGAAATGAGGCATCGGCATAGGTTAAACAAATAAATCAATTGAACAGAATAGAAAATCCAATATCAAACCATATGTAAACAGGTTTTTTTTTAAAAAAAAAAAAGTGTCAAAGCAGTTCAAAGGGGAAAGTCTTGAAAAAATAGTTCTGAAGCAATTTCATATATGTAAGCAAAAAAGTGAACTTTAGTGCCTAGTTCAAACCATTCACAAATATTAATTAGAGATAGAGCCAAGGCCTAAAAGGTAAAAGGTAAAACTCAAAAGTGTCTAAAAGAAAATGGGAGAAAATCTTGCCAGCCTTAGGGTAGCTAGATGTTTCTTAGGGCTCAGAAAGTAATCATCATAAAGAGAAAAAAAATGATGTTAGATTTCATCAAAATTGAAATGTTTCATCAACTAATATCACTAATAAAATGAAAAGGCAAGCCACAGACATGGAGAAACTATTCACAACCTGTGTATCTGAAAAGAGACTGTATCCAGAATAAATAAAGAACTTCTATAACTCAGTAAGCAAAAGACAAAGAGGTCAATTTTTTAAATAAGCAAAAAGGCCACAACACACTGCAGGAAGGAAAACATCTCAATGACCAATAAGGAAGTGAAAAAACGATCAGCAATGTTAGTCCTCAGGGAAGACTCAGTTAAAACCACAAGGAGCCACCTCCGCGTCTGCGCCGAGGGGATGCAGGTGAAGAAAGGACCACAACAGACGCTGGCAAGGACGTGGAGCAAGCAGAACATTGAGGACGGGATGGGAAAATGGCGCAACCTCTTTGGAAAAACTGACATTTTCTTTTGAAGTTAACAGATGACTCAACAATCCCACTTTTCGGCATTTTACTCAAGGGATGTAAAAACATCCATAAGCAAAATTACTTCTACAAAAATGGCCATAGCAGCCTTATTCATTCTAGCCTCAAGCTGGAAACAACCCAGACAGGCAGAATTCTGCACACTCCCCCAAAAGATCTAAAGTCAATCATCTCAGTGTCCATCTCAGGAAACTAGGGAAGGATCGAGTTAAACCTGAACCAAACAAAGAAAATGAAATAATAAAAGTTAAAATAGAAAAAGAGGAATGAACTTGCGGTACAGGCAACGACATGGATGAATCTCAAAAACATGCTGAGTGAAAAAGTTCCAGACACAGAAGATCACAGACTGCATGCTTCCAATTACATGCAATTCTAGAAAAGTCCAAACTAATCTGCAGGGAAATCAGAACCGTTTTGTAGTGATAGAGCTTAACCAGGAAGGTGCGTGACAGAGCTTTTTGGGGTGGTGGTAAATGCTCTATATCCTGAAAGGATGTGAATTACATGGGCTGGATTCATGAACTCTACAGGAAAGATCTGTGCACTTCATTGTGAGTTAAAATACCTCAATTTTTTAAATACTTAAAACTTTAAAAATTAAAAATTTGGGGAAGAGATGGGCTTCAAAATTCAGAATATTTTAGATTTTTTAAAAAGTAATATGATATACACACTGTATATTCCAAGAATATCCTTAACAGGGTCTGGGCAGATGCAGAATGAAATAGATTAGGATCCCTACTACAGAAGCAAATAGTCACACCAGGTCCCACAAATTGCATCACGTCAGTGTGGCTCAGTGTCTGCTATCCAATGAGGTTGCTGCAAAGCTAAGGGGGAAAAATGTTTAATTTTCTGAGCTTGGGAATTTGAATTTTAGACAAGGAACTGTGGCATTGTTACATGCAACAGCGAACAAAGACAGTAAATGTCTGGGGGAGGGGACCTTCTGGGGGACGACCTCAGGACTTCCTGGGGGGCTGAGGTTTCATAGAGATTCTGCCGACACCTGTCTTTAGGGTGAGAGAGCCCCACAGGTCCTACTGCACCCTAGTGCTTTACAGATGGCCAGGAGGAGGTCTACCCTGGGCAGACAAGCTCATCCAGCTTCTGCCATAAGTAGGGGAGCATTTCCATTCCAGGAACTAAGGGATCAACCCCAAGGAGGATGCAAATGGTCCTGCCTACGTCTTCTGCCCCACCAGATGTCCCCTCGTGCTCACAGCATCACATACTTAGTATTCCTTCAGGATAAACTTCTAGAAATGGGGTTGCTTGGGGAAATTGTCCATATTTTAAACTTTGATATTGACATTGCCTTTTAATTGAGATTGAAAAAACCTTCCAAAAATGCAGATCCAACCACCCTCCCACCAAAGGACACTTCCTTGCTGATAGTCAGTGTTTGACCGTTTGCCAATCTTAGTCAAAACGTTACATTGGTTTTCATTCCTGAAGTCTTAGTGAGGTTGAGTTTACAGTGTCTTCATCGTGTATGTATCCCTTCATCATTTTACAATGTCTTGTTTGTCATCTTTTTATCGATTTATAAAGTGCAGGTCGTTGATCTCTGATGTTAACCCTTGGCAATAGGCGGCAACAAAGATCAAAACAAAATTTTGCTTCATCTTCAACTTAATTTATAGTAATGTTGCTGAACTAGCTTTTTAAAATGTTTATCTTCACATTTATCAAATTTTGGCTTTTAAGGTTTTTGGGTTTGGGATCATAATTTTGGAGGCTATCATCCAACCCCAAAGAATCTTTGGATCAAAAATCTTGGAAATTGCCGGGCGCGGTGGCTCAAGCCTGTAATCCCAGCACTTTGGGAGGCCGAGATGGGCGGATCACGAGGTCAGGAGATCGAGACCATCCTGGCTAACACGGTGAAACCCCGTCTCTACTAAAAACACAAAAAACTAGCCGGGCGAAGTGGCGGGCGCCTGTAGTCCCCGCTACTCGGGAGGCTGAGGCAGGAGAATGGCGTAAACCCGGGAGGCGGAGCTTGCAGTGAGCTGAGATCCGGCCACTGCACTCCAGCCCGGGCGACAGAGCAAGACTCCGTCTCAAAAAAAAAAAAAAAAAAAATCTTGGAAATGTTGAATCACAGAATCTGGGAACACTTGAAATTGAGAAATATTGTAGTCATCGTTATAAAATCACGTGATGGTAGGAACGGAACTTTCAGGACCTTGTATTTTGAAGGGACAGTTCATTCATTGATCTGATTTCCCCTTCATTGATTTATAAAATTAATGGCCTATCTGCTGTGTGCCGGGTACCACGCAGGGTGCTGGGGATCCAGCTGTGAATTACCAGACGAGGCCCTGCCCTCCTGGCACCCACCACAGAGGGGCCACCTTCCGCTGGCACTCACTAATCATCTGCTCTGTCAGAGACTCCTGGGTGGTGCCTGGGACACAGTCAGGACTCCACTCTCCAGCCTCCTGGTTTTCCAGCCTCACCTTGAACCCTTCCGCAGAAAGAATCTTCAGGAATGAGTTCCCTGTCCCTCAGAGCCGTAGAACAAAGAGAGCTGGGCCCTGGGGACTCAAAAGAGGGGAGGGACAAGGGGGTGATGGATTCAGGGTTCAGGGTGGCCAGGGTGGGCAGGGGCAGCTAGAATCCCAGGCCCTGCTCTCAGGTAGAGGGAGAGACGGCTCCAGCCCCCCATGCCCCTCTGCTGACAGATGGCCATCAAGTCAGTCCCGTTCCTGAGCATGGATGTGTGGTCCAAGGAGCTGCTGTGCACACTCACCACGCCCAGCTGGACCCAACAGGAGCAGTCCCCTGAGAAGGTGAGCCCCACCCTGCCTCCAGGAGCAGCCCCTGCCTGCCCCCTACACAGCCCCAGGGGCTCGATCCATAGGACACCCAGGGCCCTAGCAAGAAGTTGGTGGACTTGAGGCAGGGGTGGGGCCTGGACAGAAGGACTTGAGCTTCACCTGCTGCAGCTGCAGGCAGAGGCTTGGACAGTCCACAGCCGGTGTCGCAGTGGCTACAGGGGCCCAGGGAGGCCAAGCGAGCGTGGTCAGGGGCAGCTGCTCAGAGGAGGTGGCAGGCCATCGGGGGGTCAAGCACAGATAAGATGCTGCCCTTCCCACAGGCCTTCCTGTTCACCTACTACGGGCTAACCCTTCAAGCTGAAAAAAACAGTGCCACAGTCAGGAGACACCTGCAAGCCCTCCTGGAAACATCCCACCAGTGGCCCAAGCAGAGGGAGGTAAGGACCCAGGCCCCACCCTGTCCCCACCACCACCTGACCCTGACCACAGGCTGAGCCTGATGGCTGGTCTCACACCACGCCCTAATCCTGATCACAGCTTGAGCCTTCTCCCTGTTCTCACTCCAACCCCTGACCCTGGTCACAAACTAAGGTCTGACCTTGGTCTATGGCTGAGCCTTGATGCTGATCACAGGCTAACCCCTGACCCCAGTTACAGCCGTGATCTCAGCCGCAGCGTAGCCCTCCTCCTCCATGGTAAACACATCTCCTCATTCCCACTCCGGCACAGCCAGCTCATAGCCGGCAGTGAGGGATAATGGGCCTCCAGGGATCCACCTCTGCCCCCCGCACCCCTCACTCCCCCTACCAGACCCCATAAGCCATGTGTCCTCTGGCATGGGCTCGGTCACAGGTCCTGACAGAGTGGGGTGGGTGCTGGCTGCCCTAGGACCCTGGATGAGCTCCAACCCCCTCTGGAGGTCCCATTCCCCCTCAGTTTTCACTCCTGCTAGGGGAGAAGCCGGGTCTGTTCCTGGACTTTGGGGTCCCCTGATGAGTGACCCTGACCCCGACCTACAGGGCATGGCTCTGACTTTGGGGCTGGCGGCCACCCGCCACCTGGATGACGTCTGGGCTGTCCTGGACCATTTTGGCCGGAGCAGACCCATCAGATGGAGCCTCCACAGCTCCTCCCCGAAGGTACTGGCTCAGGGGGCCCTAGAGACCAGCAGGGGGCTGGGACAGCAGGACCCCCACCCTCCATGAAGGCCAGCCTCTGGGGACTCCCAGGACACTGCCCCGTTCAGCAGGAGGGGAAGAGGTGGGTGTGGGAGGGGCCCCCACAAGGAGGGGAAGGCAAGGGGCCTGGACTCCAGCCAGCTCCAGCAGAGCTGAGCGCCCCGTGCACACCCCACCCTAACACCCTGCCCAAACTGTGGCCCTAAAAAGGCCCGAGCCATCCCCCAAAGAGCCAGTCCCAGTCCACCTGTTTTCTGTGGGCCATGGAGGCCCACCGCCCCTCAGGACAGATGCCTGCCCTCAGGGCCCTGCTAGAGCTGGGCAACCACCTCCACAGCTCTCCGGAGGAGGGTAGGGCGGGGTGCTGACACTCCTCACCTGCCTGCCACCCCTCGGCTAGAACTCGGAGGACCTGCACTGGAAATGGGCCAGCAGCACCATCCTCCTGGCATACGGCCAGATGGCGGCCAAAGCCCGGGCCCACATCCTCCCGTGGGTGGACAACATCGTGTCCAGGATGGTCTTCTACTTCCACTACAGCTCGTGGGTACGCCCCTGGCTGCCCCGGCAAGATCCCAACACCTACCCGTCCCCACCGAGACCAAGTCCTGGATCCCAGCCCAGCCGCCCTGCCAGCCTCTGAGAGTGGAGAATTCCAGGACCTCCCAGGGCCTTGGAGCCCACCGCCACCCCACCCTGGAATCATGAGGAACCAGGCCGAGCTTCCTGGTGGCCCCACGGTTTCGTCTGTCCGTCCCACCGAAACTTCTCTGGGCTTCATGGTGCCTCTACCCTCACTTCTGCTCTTAAAGCAAACCCTGGGTTTTCACTTTGGGAGTGGGGGACATGGGTGTGGAGAGGCCAGGCTGACGTCCATCGTGCCTTGATGACAAGCCCCTGACTCCACACCCCACACCAGGGGCCTCCAACCCAGGTCACTGTGAGAGGCCCTGCCAGGGCTGCCCCCACCCCAAAGTAGCCACATCGCTGCCCCGGGTCGCCGCTGCTGTGGCCCTGGGCCATGGGGTTGCCACATCTCAAGAGACTTACAGGCACTCTCCCAGTGTTTAAACATTGTCAATTTACAGTTTTAAACAAAACCATGCAGCCCCACCCCTTACGAAGCCCCCCAGATGCAGCCCGGGTGGGTGGTCTCTGTGGCCCCTCGGATCACAGCCTCACGCTCCTGCTCCCACTGCACGCTCCCACGTCCTGGGCCCTGACCCTGTCCGCCATTCCAGGATGAGACCCTGAAGCAGAGCTTCCTCACGGCCACCCTGATGCTGATGGGCGCGGTGAGCCGGAGTGAGGGCGCCCACAGCTACGAGTTCTCCCAGACCTCCGAGCTCCTCAAGTGTCTGATGGTGCGTTCCAGGCCCTGGGCGAGGCGGGCAGCCTCTCTCAGTTTACCCCTTGCGGAAGGAGTGGGGTGGGTTTCTAGGGCATGTCCTGACCTGACCGCAGTGGCTTTGCTCTGGTGCTCTGGCCTCCTGGTGGGGCAGCTCACAGAGGCCCCTCTGGGGGTAGGGAGACCTGGTGTTGGAAGTGAGACGGACCAGGCCTGAGTGGCTTGGTGCCACCTGCGACTTACAGGTTTTGATGGAGAAGGAGCCCCAGGACACTCTGTACACACGGAGTCGCCAGCAGACCATGCACATCGCGTCCAGCCTCTGGTAGGCCCCCTGCCTCACACAGGGCTTCCTCAGCGCCATGCAGCAGCCTCTCCACTCGGGTTTGGAGCTGGCAGGCAGCGAGGTGGAGAGGTCAGAAATGGAGCACCATTCTGTGTGCCAGGCACCATTCTGGGGTCTGAGGACCCAGCTGTGGGTCAGCAGGGAACATCCCTGTTCTCTAAGAACTGACACTTGGGGGGTGGGGACAGACCATGAACAAACCACACACCTCAGCGACAGTGACGCTGCTGCCTGAAAGCAGATGGAGCTGGGGGAGCGAGGTGGAGGGGAGGTAAGATCCTCACGGGTTGAGGGCTACAGGAGACTCTGCAAGGAGAATTGACTAACCGAATATTGGTGGACTGGGCGCCCAGCACCAGCCCCATGCTCTTCTAGGCTCCAGAATACAGCCTGAGGCTGGGATAGACGGCCCTCAAAGGGGACTTTTGGGCAAAGACCTGAAAGGGTGAGAGTAGCGCTGCAGTGCCTGGCTAAAGGGAAAGCGGGTGCAAAGGCCTTGAGGCTGGTGCACAGCAGGGTTGCTGGAGGACCCACAGGGGGCCAGGGTGGCAGGGCTGGAATGCATGAGGGCCCCGGGAGCCACGGGGAAGGTCATCCAGGCTACTGCAGGGCACTGGCTCTTGCCTGAGCGAGGTGGGGCCTTGGGGGAGTCACACTGGAGAAGGAATGTCTGGATCTAGTGTGGGGAGTAGATGGAGCTCCCCAGAGAAAATGGGGGACCAGTCAGGACCCCCTAGAACAATCCAAGAGAAAAGTAACAGTGGTCTGATTGAAAGTAAGAAGTCCTTAAATGTCAAATTGTGATGGTAGAGCTGTCAGGAGCTGCTGGAGGGCTGCACGCAGCTTTCGAGGGAGGGGAAAGAATGGAGAATGTGCTGAGGTTTTGTCCAAGCAACAAGGAGGATGGCACTGTGTTCCACTGTGACGGGGCAGGCTGTGGGTGCAGCTACCCTGGGGGGATGCATCAAGATGGAGATGCTCCTTAGACAGCATCAGGGTGGCATTTAAAGTCAGGGACTGGGAAGAGAGATGGACCAGGACATCACCTGGCCAGGATGCCCCAGCTTAAGGCCCTGCAGAGGCAGGTGGGCCAGGGAGGCAAACGTGTGCACAAGAGTCTCTATGAACAGCAAAAGGCCAGGAGTCTGCAGGGATGAAGGCAGATGCCACTCAGCAACCTCCCCAGGCCCCAGCCCCATGCTAATGGCCCTCTGTCTTCCCAACAGCAAGCTGAGGCCTCCTATAGACTTGGAAAGGAAATCTCAGCTCCTGTCCACCTGCTTCCGCAGCGTGTTCGCCCTGCCGCTGCTGGATGCCCTGGAGAAGCACACCTGCCTCTTTCTGGAGCCTTCCAACATCCAGGTGTGGCCCATGGCTCGGGAGTGGGCAGGCTGGATGCACCAGGGCTGGGGATCCGGGGCAGTTCTTCACTGCTCTGAGCACCTGCAGGTTTGCTGCATGCTATATGCCGCGGTGTGTTTGCCCACCTGTAAAATGGGGGTGATACTAACAGGGTCGATGGTACTTAACACTTGGCAACTAAACTGAGACACTGGGTGAGCAGTGGCACGGAGGAGCACCCTGTAAAGAGTGGCGCGTGTGGCCTCCCTCCCTCCCTGCGGGCCCTGAGAGCCAGCAGAAACTGGCAAGCCCGTGTTGCCCAGCCCTGCAGGCCTTGGCCACCATGCTATGTGGCAGGGTCAGGTCTGAGTTTTTGCCAAGCTCCCCAGCAGCCCAAGGGAAGTGGAGAGGAAGGGAGGAGTTCCCCAACCTTGTAGTGGTCCCTGCAACACCTGGAATGAGTCACCTTCCCTGCAAGGTGGGCTTAGTCTCACCACACAGCTACTCAGAGGTGGTGCCATGCCCAGGCCGTGCGAGCCCACCCTCCCACCCCAGGAGGCTGGGGAAAGGAACTCCAGGATTGCTCTCAGCACTTGGCCAGTGCCCACCCCTTCCTGGGTTCTGTTCAGTAAAAGCCACCCCTGCAGAGAGACGCCTGCCATTGCTCATGGCCACCACCGGGTACATGTGTGGCTCCTGAGCACAGTCACCGCACCTGACTTCTCGAGTGTCTGCAGTCCTCGGCCTATAGCCAAAGCCAGTGTTAACTGAGCCCCTGCTAGGTGCCAGGCCCTAGACCAGTTATATCACCTTCCCAGCGGTGATCCCAGAGTAAAGAAATGCTCAGAGAAATGAGGCTGTCTGGTGGGAGAGGCAGGGTTTGAACCCCGACCCTGCCCCCCGAGGCTGAGTCCAGGCTGGAACTAGACAGACACACACCTAGGGTGGGGTGGTGAGAGAACGAGGGTGTCCTGGGCCCAGAGCAACACAGCCCCCAGTAAGGGTGGCCCCTGGCCACACCCCAATCCCACCGCAGTTCAGAGTGACCCTGTTACATGATGACACAGTGACACTGAGGCTGGCTCATCCAGGGAGTGCCATGCGGTGTCTGGGGGTCTGGCACTAGGAGCTGGAAGTACTGAACTGTTGACTCCAATCCCCTGCCTGCCTCCACTCTGGCAGGTGGGGCTGGCTTCATGCCATTCTCATGTGAGGAAGGTAAGCTCAGAGAGGCAAAGCAAGTCTCCCCGTGGTACCTAGTGAGTGAGTGACCAGAGCCCCAGGGCTCTGCTCCTGGTGGGCCCTGGAGGGGAGGGTAGCTGGGGGCATTTCTCTGGTCCTCACCCTCCCTGAACATGCCCAGCAAGCAAAGCAGTAAAGATTGGAAACACGGCATGTAGGACCCGGGACTCAGCCCACTGTGTCATTGGCAAGGCCTGGGCAAAAAGAAAATGCCAGCCCCTGCTTCAAACCTCAGAACCTCCAGCACATTCACCCAGCACAGGGCCCTTTTCAGCCCGGGACCCTGGGACCCCAAGGGTACCCTCCTGTGAAGCTAGCCCTGCTAGGAATGAACCGCCTGGTCCACTAAGACACCTGTGCCCTTGGGTGATCACTAGAGGCCTCCCCACCTAGTCCCCACAGCTGCCAAACGGGGGCCATGGCAGCCCCCTCGCAGGCATGGTGGCGAGCCCCAGTGGTGAGCAGCCCGGTACATGCAGGAAGTGGGCGCTCCTCAGGCCCTGTGTCCACCTGGTCGTGGCACTACCTGACCACCCTCGTCTCTACACAGAGCCTGTACAGCAGGACCATGGAGGCACTGGACCTCATGCTGCAAAGCCTCATCATGCAGAACCCCACCACCGACGAGCTGCATTTCCTGCTGTCGGTGAGGCTGCGGGGAGGCCAGACGGCTGGGGCCAAGGGGTCCTTAGCCTATGGCCAGACCCCAAAGGAGGGCATCCCAGAGGAGGCAGGGCGGGACCTGGGGGCTTTGAGTGGTACAGGAACCAGGAGGGGTGAGGGCCACCCCCACTTAGGCATCACAGTGATTTGGGGGCACTGGGGAGGGAGAGACAGCAGGTGGCCTGGTAGAAAGAGGGCTGATGGGCCAGGCGCGGTGGCTCACGCCTGTAATCCCAGCACTTTGGGAGGCCAAGGCGGGTGGACCACTTGAGGTCAGGAATTCGAGACCAGCCTGGGCAACATGGCAAAACCCTGACTCTACTAAAAATACAAAAAAAAAAATTAGCTGGGTATGGTGGTGGGGGCCTATAATCCCAGCTACTCGGGAGGCTGAGGCAGTAGAATTGCTTGAACCTGGGGAACACAGGTTGCAGTGAGCCAAGATCTCACCACTTCACTCCAGCCTGGGCAAAAGAGAGAAAGTCTGTCTCAAAAAAAAAAAGAAAGAAAGAAAAAAAGGGCTGATGAGGGTTCCGCCCTCCCTCCTAGAGAACTTCCCCTGCAGTGTCCCCTGAAGGGTCTCCCAAACCTGCTGCCCCCACTCCCACCTGCCCTCCCTCACCTTGTCAGGAGGGAGACCAGAGCAGGCAATGATAGTCCTGGGGCAGGCGGAGGCCCAGGGAGGGGAGGCTGGCTCTGCCTCAGAGGTCAAGTCCAACGGGACTTCTCGCAGCCCTGGCTGAGGACTAAGACAGCCACGGGCAGAGAAGGGAAGGGAGGGGCCCAGCAGTCAGAGGGCACGCAGGGCAAAGGTAAGCAGTGCAGAGGAGCCCAGCGCGTCTTGGGGAAGTCACAGATGTGTTTCTGGGACACCACCGGGTCACGAAATCTCCAAATACCATGTACCCTCATCCTACTTCAGAGTCACTAATTATACATCTAATCATATATCACCTTAATAAAGAGCTCAGATTCGGCTTAAAAACTATTTAACGTACCTGTCTCCAGACGCCTTTGTAAGCGCAGCAGGCAGAGCCTGGCCAAGGAGGGATGGCGCCTTAGGGAGGGGGCAGAGCCGGGGTGGGCGGGGCCTGGACCGAGTGGGCGGGGGGGTCTGGCCCAGTGGTGGGCGGGGCCTGGCCGAGTGGGCGGGAGTCTGGGCCGGTGGTGGGCGGGGCCTGGGACAAGGGCCCCGTAGCACCCTCTCCCTGACCCTGCCCACCCCGCAGCACCTGTACATCTGGCTAGCGTCGGAGAAGGCACATGAGCGGCAGCGGGCTGTGCACAGCTGCGTGATCCTCCTCAAATTCCTGAATCACAAAGGCAACTTGGACGTGAGTATGCGGTTCACCAGTCCCACGCTCCGAGCCGGCTTTTACGGCTGGGCCTCCTGCCCTGGATGGCAGGGGCCCAGCCAGAGCCGCCCTCCTCCCAGATCCTGCCAGGGTTCGTAGGGTTCAAGGCCCCCTGTACACCTGCCTCCAGGACAGGTACTCCTGAGTACCCCACAGCACGGCCGAGCTCCGTAGTGACAGGCGGCCCAGGCCATCTCCCTCCTTGCAAGTGAGGGAACAGGCAGGGAGGGGCAGGACCTGCCCGAGGCCTCACAGCTGGGATCTGAAGGCAGGTCACCCTGACCCCTGACCCCTGACCCTGGAGCTAGGCACTTGTCCATGCACCTAAGGCCTTGTACAGGTGTTTCTCCTCCACCAGCCCTAGCTTCTCACCTGTAAAGTGAATGGAAATGACCCCTTCCTAGAGGGATATGGTGGGGCTCTGATGGGATGCAGGCGTGAGAAGGCTGGTAAATTGTACGACCCTGCACCTGATTAGGGGTTCCTTGCTGTGTGGAGTGGCCACCCCACCACCCCTCCACCAGTGCAGCCCCCATCATGACATGGCTCATCTGTCGCTACTGCCCTTGGGTTGCATCAGCACATGGTCAGAGAGTGCACTTCCGCGAGTATGAGCCCAAACCCGTGTTAACTCCCTAAGCAGACTCAGGGGGATGGGGAAATTCGTTCCTTGCTCTAATGCCTGGTGGCTGCCTGGTCTAATGAGGGCAGGGGGCAGAAATGCTGGAGGGAGGGGGACTGTTCTGTCAAGGGAAAGACGCTGCACCCCTAGGAGGAGAAGGACAATTAAAGTGGCTTCAATTTACTCAAAATTCATTTCAACATCACAGGACTGGACCAGGGTAAGGGAAGCAAGGTACTCACCTTGCGCACAAAATTTACGTCAGAAACAAAAAACTCTGTAATCAAGATGATTCATATTTTCATGTGATGTTTTTAAAACTCAATTTGGCAAGCTATGGCCCATGGGCTGACCACCTGCTTTTGTAAATAAAGTTTTATTAAACCAGGACCAGGATGAGAGTAGGACAGCCGAGGTGACATGCAAAGCAGGGTCAGATTTGCTTACAGTTTTGAGATTTTGCTCATCACAGAGTTTTCTGCATTTATTCTGATTTTTCTAAATATTGCATTAAAATATTACTTCTCTTGATTACTGAATGTTTTGCCTAGCCCCAAGTCCTGGCCCTGCCACACCATTGGAGGGGTCACTTCTGATGTAGGCCATGCTGTGTGAGTGTGTAGCAGGGCTCTGCAGGGAGGTTCTGCCATCAGTGATTCCCATACTCTCAACACAGCCAAAGGAGAACTTCAAAAGGATTGGGCAACTGGTGGGCATACTGGGGATGCTGTGCCAGGACCCAGACAGGGCCATCCAGCACTGCAGCCTGGAAGGGGCGAGCCATCTCTACCAGCTCTTGATGTGCCACAAAGGTGAGTTCTGTGGTGCACCAACTTCCACCCCAACTGCAACCTCACCCCTGACCTCAACCTTGCCCCAAAGTTGCCCCCAAACCCAACCCTGATCTGAACCATAACCCTGTAATGGCCTCACCCTGACCCCCACCACTCTGATCCCAGTCCCCAAACTGGGCACAAGCCTGACCCTGATTACAAATGACCCTACCCTAACCCTGCCCTGTCCCAGACTAGACCCCAAGCCCACCTTCACCCTGCCTTCACCCCACCCTGTCCCTGGCCAGCAGGAGAAGCTTTGCAGGCAGAATCACAGGCCCCTACGGAGCTCTCCCAGGCCCATTCAGACGGAGCCCCACTCTGGAGCAGCAGAGACCAGAAGGTCACTCCCCTGGGCCCCCAGGAGATGGTGAAGAACCGCATCTTCCAGTTTGGCAACTCCCAAATCATCAAGGTCAAAGCCCTTAGAGTGGAGGGCAGGGCAGGGGCATGACCAGAGCACACCACATATCTGGGGAGTGGGGAGTGGTGGGTAAATGTGCTCGCTTGCTCTCTCCCACGTTGTTGAGGTGGAGCCAGGAAGGTTTGGGGGGCCAGCACACATTAGATGCCTACTTATTACCTATGCCAGGGGCTTCACAGACATTACTACATCCCTTCCTCAAGTTCTATAAACTGAATTGAACCAAATGATGAAGAAATGGTGGCACAGGGCTGGTCAGTGCCCCACTGGAATCTGATCCAGCCCCAGCTACTCCAGAACCCATGCTCTCAGCAACTTTTGCAAGCCATTGGTGTGCTGAGGCCAGTTAGAAGTTTAGTGTGGAAAACCTAAAGCCCTAGGGCCAACTCACTGTCTGTGTCCAGAAGGGAAATACCTCACTTGGCTGTAGTTTACCCTACAGAACCTGCCCTGAAGGCAGAGTCAGGGTTGGGAAGGAAGAGTTTCACTGAAGGGACAGCTGCTTCACCCCATGTGGTCCCTGCACACAGACCATGGGTGTCCAGCTCTGGCTCTCCCCAGACAGACAGGAGCAGGAGAAGAGAGAGGATGGGAGGGTCTGCTAATTATAGAGCCATCATAGAACCACAGGGCTGAGAAGGTTCCAGCTGAGGAACAGACACTTTGGGCCTGGGTTCTGGTCCCAAGTTTGTCCCTAACTCCTCATTTGGTCTTGGATCCGTAATATCTTTATCACCACCCCCACTGTCATCATCACCACCAGCATTACTACCATCATGGTCACTGTCACTGTCACCACCACCACCATTATCACCACCATTATCACCTTCACAGCCACCACCAGCATCACCATCACCATCATCACTACCACCACCATCACCATAAGCATCATCACCACCACCACCACAGCCACCACCACCAGCATCATCATCACCACCATCACCATCACCACAACCATCTCCACCACCACCATTACTACCATCACCACCTCCACAATCATCATCACCACCATCACCATCACCACAACCATCTCCCACAACCATCTCCACCACCACCATTACTACCATCACCACCCCCACAATCATCACCACCACCATCACCATCACCACAACCATCTCCACCACCACCATTACTACCATCACCACCTACAATCATCATCACCACTAATACCATCACCACAACCATCTCCACCACCACCATTACTACCATCACCACCACAACCATCACCACCACCATCACCATCACCACAACCATCTCCACCACCACCCTTACTACCATCACCACCTCCACAATCATCATCACCACCATCACCATCACCACAACCATCTCCAGCCACCACCATTACTACCATATCACCACCTCCACAATCATCACCACCACCATCACCATCACCACAACCATCTCCACCACCACCATTACTACCATCACCACCTCCACAATCATCATCACCACCATCACCATCACCACAACCATCTCCACCACCACCATTACTACCATCACCACCTCCACAATCATCAACACCACCATCACCATCACCACAACCATCTCCACCACCACCATTACTACCATCACCACCACCACAATCACCACCATCACCATCACCACAACCATCTCCACCACCACCATTACTACCATCACCACCTCCACAATCATCATCACCACCAACAGCATCACCACAACCATCTCCATCATCACCATTACTACCATCACCACCTCCACAATCATCATCACCACCAACAGCATCACCGCCATCATGATCATAGTCACCACCACCATTATCACCACCATCACCATCACCATAACCACCATTGCCACCACCACCGCATCACCATGACTACAACCACCATCACCATCTGCATTACTATGACCCTGCACCACCATCATTATCACCACCACCACTACTTCTACCATCACTGCCACCTTTATCTCACATTTATTGCTGCCCTTGATTGAAGGAAGATGGCTCCAAAGTCTTTACCAATCCTGAGACTGTAGTATTCTGAGAATCTAACCACCATTCCAAGTTGAATCTCTTCACAAACATTCTAAATGCTAGCTTTAACCAAAAGTTTAACATTATAGCAAATGATTTTAATCATCTAACAAATATTCTAGCCCGATGTATAATAACAATATTCTTGTAAAAAGTTCTTACCACAAATCTTCCACTAAAATTATTTTAACGTTCTAACCATTGTGCTAACACTCTAACATTCTCACAAACACTGTATCAAAATTTTAGAATTAAAAGATTCTAATAAATATTCTAACATCCATTATTTAACACTTAACTTGATGTTCTAATATACTTAGAAATGTCCTAACAGATTGCAGGCACTCCAACAAATATCCTAACATGCAAAGAAGAGTTTTGCCATCCTGACATCCTTGCAGACACCCTAATTTCCTGTCAGGCTGCTCTCCCATCCCTCCTTCAGCTGCTAACTTCCTTTGGTTCAATGCTGTGTGTCCCACTGTGCAGAGAACGCTCTGGGAGGATGGGTGTGTTCTATCTCTGTGCTACCCAAGGTAGCCACTGGCCACAGGAAGCCATGGAGCACTTGAAATGTGGCTAGTGCTACTGCAGAACTGAATTTTTAATTTTACTTAAATTGAAATATAAATAGCTGTGTATAGATAGTGGCACAATGCCTGAAGTCTTTCCAGAAAATTCTACCTTTGCAGCAGTGACTGAGGCCCGGTCCCCGCTCCGGGAGGCTGTAGTCTGAGGCTATGAGGCAGGGGTCACACCCACCATCTTGCATTTCTTGAGAGCCCCTTCCTTACCCCTGAGCTCATGGCTACTTGCGAAGGTGAGACTCACCTTCCTGGACCCTTAGAGCCACTCCTGGGAGGAGATGGAGAGGGTGTCAGGGTCCTGGGACAGCGCTGCCTGTCCTGGGACGGGAGCCAGGTCCCGGCTGCACCCACCCTGACCTGCTCCAAGGCTGAGGGCAGCCCACACCCTTCTGGGCCTGAGGGTTGGCCCAGGTGAACTTGAAGCTCCTTCACAGCCCGGAAGTTCACTTTCTCTTTGATAAATGCTCATAAGGAGGACTGGAGCCTGGCAGGGGGCACCCCACGGGGCTGAGGCTGGCAGATGAGGAAGCCCTACGGGCAGAGGACAGCAGACGAGGGGAGAGGGGAAGCCCGGCCACCCAGTCCTGGGACAAGCACAGAGTGTGAGTGTGGAAAAGAGCCTGGGCCATGGTTGGCTCTGACAGATGTGGACAAGTGCAAGTCTAGACTGCAAATCGCTGGCAGGTGCTTGGAACCTGGAGGAGTGGGGCTTAGGAGGCCTGATATGCTCAGAGACTTGGGAGATCCTGGGACAAAGGAGAAGGGGTAAAAGCAGAAGTGGGGAGGCAGGTGCCTGGGCCCAGGTGGCCCAAGGTGATGGCCTCTCTCCACCCCTGCTGTACAGGAGATCATGCAGCAGCTCACACTGGCAGAGTTGAATGACCTCATCTGGACGGCCATCGACAGCCTGGGCTCCACCAGCCCCTTCCGCGTGCAGGCGGCCTCCGAGATGCTGCTCACAGCGGTCCAGGAGCATGGGGCCAAGCTGAAGATCGTAAGGGCGCTGGGGCCGGGCCAGGAAGGGCCAGGGGGTGGAGAGAGGACCCAGCGGTCAGCATCCAGGGCTCAGGTCCTTGAGCCTGATGGGGGAGTCACAGATCCCACCCTGGGAAGCAACTAGTCTGATGGTTTTGAATGAGCGAATGAATGAATGGCCCAAGCAAGTCCCCTGGGTCCTGGGTGGTGACTGCCGGGTCTGAGCAGTCGCTGTGTGCTGTAATATGGGAATGGTGGGAAAGGAAGGGAATGGCACAGACCAGCCCCTTGAGGAGCTTGAGGTCTCGGGGAAGACGGACACACAGCCAGATGTTGCCCAGACAGCGTGTGGGGATGTGATTTGGGGGAGGGGGACCCCACAGGGAGGTGAGGGGTACACCCCAGAGAGAGGATGCCCAGTGCCAAGTCCTGCAAGTGGGAGAGCTCAGACAGGGAGACTGGCACTGGGCATTAGGGATGATCAGGAGAGACCCCAAGGGGAAGGCAGGGTGCCCCAGGCACAGGGCACCTCATGGGCAAAGTGGCATGTTTAGGAATGAGATGGGAGGCGGGGGGCTGGACCTTCCAACATCTGCCTGGGCAACGTGGACAGCATATGAAGACCCCAAATGTCATGCAGCACATGGCAGGACCTGTCCCCCCAAGACTGGGACTTCTCTGCAGACCAAGCATCTGGGCGGGCCGGCTCAGGACAGGGCCATATCTGAAGGGGCTCATCAGGGAGAGACCTCCCTCTGCCTTCAAGCTCCCAGGGCAGGGCTGGGCCACCCTGTCAGACCTCTCCCTCTCTGCACAGGTTTCCGGCATGGCCCAGGCCATCTGCCTCCGCCTGTGCTCTGTCCGCATCCCACAAGCCAAGGAAAAGACCCTGCATGCCATCACCCTGCTAGCCCGGAGCCACACCCGCGAGCTGGTGACCACCTTCCTGGACATCTCCATCCCCTTGGACAGGTGCCTACCCCTCTTCCCTCATTGCCCACCCCCTGTCCTCTCCCCAGGCAGGGGTGGTGACCTCTGCCCTCCTGTCTGCCACCATCATGGCCCACAGGGATCCCTATAGGGCTGGGTGCTTGGAGGGAGCCCACATCTGTTCATCATTGCACACCTCCTGGGTGGGCACAGGGGAGGCACTGCTGTCTCCTGTCCTGGCTCCACATGAAACCCCTGACCCAGCCGGGCCACACTGTCACCTGATGGAGAGGCCGCAGGCCCCTGGGTGCTCCTGGCAAGACCCCAGCCCACACTGAAGCCTCGCCGCCCAGCAGCAAACCCCTCTGTCTCTCCTCATCAACAGACACTCTCTTCTCCTTCCTGCCCCTCCACAGACCACCCCGCTATGTCCCCGAGGCCATCAAAGCCCTCTCAGGTGGGGCTGGCTTTTTTCTCACAGCCCTCAGACCCCTGCACCTGGAGATGGGCCAGGGTCCTTGTCACTGCTCACTGCCCTTCCTTCCCAAAGTCCCAGCTCTGCCTCCCAAGTCCTCAGTCCATACCCCCTGCCACTTACCTACTACGCACCTGTCCTGGATGGCCCCTCACTCCAGTCAGGGACAACCCCCAGCTCACTCCCCATGCCTGACTCCTGGGGGATTTCCCTGTCTTCCCTTCACCCTGACTTCTCCAGGCCTGGATCTCCTCTCTCCCAAGGACCTTGTCTTCCATCCCCCACAGCCACCCACTCCCCTGCCCATCCCTTGGTGTGACCATCACCAGTTTCAGACACTCCCACCTTTACAGCTCGCCTCCAGACCCAGCAAGCCTTGCCCCCAGGACCCGCCATGCACTGCCCTGTGCCCCTCTTACTCCCCTTTACCTGTCTTCACTGTCACCCTCCTTCTAGCCTGGGGTGCAGTGACTCCCACACACACACAGGTCCCTGGTCCCAGCTGCTGGCCTTGCTCCCATTTCACTGAACACTTAGAAGCCAACAGAACAGGGGTGTCCTAAGCTCCCAGAGCCCGAGTTGTTTCCAGGAAGATGTCTAGTTTCCATGTGGAAACACACCTGTGGTTCTGTGAATAATTTCTAGTTTTACTGCACTGTGGTCGGAAAGTGTTGTCTGTAAAGTTTTTATGGAATTTACTAGTCTTTTAAACGCTTTTTGTGAATGTCCCATTGGCATTCAAGAAGGAGGTGTATTTTCTGTTATCAGTGTATAGAGTCTGAGGTACCAGCATATCGCAGGATATTACAGATTCGGTTCCAGGATACCACAATACAACAAGTCACATGTGCCTCCGTGTTTCCCAGTGCACATAAGAGTTCTGTTTATACTATACTGTGGTCTATTCAGTAGGCAATAGCATTATGTCTTTTCAAAGAATCTTAAAAATTTAAAACCTACCTTAATTTAAAAATGCTTCAGTTCTAAAAAATGCTAATGATCATCTGAGCCTTCAGCAAGTTGGAACCCTCTTGCTGGTGGGCGGTGAGGACTGCTGACTGATCAGGGTGGTGGCTGTTGAAGGTTCAGGTGTCTGGCAAGTTCTTAAAAATAAGACAACGATGATGTTTGTAGCATCAATGGACTCTTCCTTTCCCGAAAGATTTCTCTGTACCATTTGGTGCTGGTTGATAGCATTTTGCCCACAGTAGAACTTCTTTCATATTTGGAGTCAGTTCTCTCAAACCCTGCCACTGCTGTATCAATAAGTTTATGGAGTATTCTAAATCCTTTGATGTCATTTCCACAGCATCTTCACCAGGAGTAGATTCCATCTCAGAAACAACTTTCTTAGCTCATCCATAAGAAGCAGCTCTTCATCTGTTCAAGTCTGATCATGAGATTCAGCAATTCAGTCTTCCGGCTCCACTTCTAATTCTAGTTCTTCTGCTATTTCTACCACATCTGCAGTTACTTCCTCCACCAAAGTCTTGAGCCCCTCAAAGTCATCTGTGAGGGTTGGAATCAACTTCTTCCAAACTGCTGTTCATGTTGCTATTTTGCCCTCCTTCCCATGAGTCATGGATGTTGCTAATGGCATCTAGCATGGTGAATCCTTTCCAGAAGGTTTTCAATGTACTTTGCCCAGATACATCAGAGAAACAACTATCTATGGCAGCTACCCTCTTACAAAGTGTATTTCTTCAATAATAAGATTTGAAAATCAAAATGACTCCTTGGTCCATAGGCTGCAGAATGGATGTTGTGTTCACAGGCAGGAAAACAACATCAATCGCCTTGTACATCTCCATCAGAGCTCTTGGGTGATAGGTGCACTGTCAATACGCAGTCATATTTTGAAAGGAATCTTTTAGTTCTGAGCAGTAGGTCTCATCAGTGGGCTTAAAATATTCAGTAAACCATGAAGCAAAGAGATGCATTGTCACCCAGGCTTTGTCGTTCCATGTCTAGACCACAGGCAAGTGGATTTAGCATCATTCTTAAGGGCCCTAGGATTTTCAGAATGGGAAATGAGCATTGGCTTCAACTTAAAATCACCAGCTGCAAGGCCAGGCACGGTAGCTCATGCCTGTAATCCCAGCACTTTGGGAGGCAGAGGCCGGTGGATCACGAGGTCAGGAGATCAAGACCATCCTGGCTAACATGGTGAAACCCCGTCTCTACTAAAAATACAAAAAAACTAGCCAGGCATGGTGGTGTGCGCCTGTAGTCCCAGCTACTCAGGAGGCTGAGGCAGGAGAATGACGTGAACCTGGGAGGCGGAGCTTGCAGTGAGCCGAGATCGCGCCACTGCACTCCAGCCTGGGCGACAGAGCAAGACTCTGTCTCAAAAAAAAAAAAAAAAAAAAAAAAATCACCAGCTGCATTAGCCCCTAATGAGAGTTAGCCTGTCTTCTGAAGCTTTGAAGCCGGGCTTTGACTTTACCTCTGTAGCTATGGAAGTCCTAGATGGCATCTTCCAATAGAAGGTGATTTCTTCATTGAAAACGTGTTGTTTAGTGTAGCCACCTTCATCAGTGATCTTAGCTAGATCTTCTAGATAATTTGCTGCAGCTTCTCCACCAGCACTTGCTGCTTCATCTTGCACTTCTATGCTATGGAGATGGCTTTTTTCCTTCAACCTTGTGAACCAACCTCTGCTGGCTTCCAGCTTTTATTTTGTAGCTTCCTCACCTCTCTGAGCCTTCATAGGGTGGAATAGTCAGGCCCTTGCTCTGGATTAGGCTTTGGCTTAAGAGAATGTTGTAGTTGGTTTGATCTTCTCTTCAAACCACTAAAACTTTTTATCCATATCAGCAATAAGGCTGTTTCACTTTCTTCGTATTTGTGTGTTCACTGGAGTAGCACTTTTCATTTCCTTCAATAATTATTCCTGTGCATTCACAGCTTGCCTCACTGTTTGGCACAAGAGTCTTTGCTTTGGGCCTATCTTGGCTTTCAACATGCTTTCTTCACTGAGCTTAATCATTTCTAGTTTTCAATTTAAAGTGAGAGAAATGGGACTCTTCCTTTTGAACACTTAGAGCCCATGTTAGGTTATTAACTGGCCTAATTTCAATATTGTGTGTCTTGCGGAATAGAGAGGCCCAAGGAAAGGAAGGGAGATGGGGGAGACAGCCAGTGGGTGGAGCAGTCAGAACCCACAACATCTATGGATTCAGCTTGGCACCTTATATGGGCGTGGCTCACAGTGCCTTAAAACAATTACCATAGTAACAGCAAAGATCACTGATCACAGATCACCATAACAGATTAATAATAATGAGGATGTTTAAAATAGTGTGAGAATTACCAAAATATCACACAGAGGCATGAAGGGAGCACACGCTGCTGGAAAAATGGCACCAACAGACTTGCTCAATGCTGGGTTGTCACAAACCCTCAACTCGTAAAAAATGCAATATCCTTTATAGATTCAATGCCATCCCCATCAAGCTACCAATGAGCTTCTTCACAGAATTGGAAAAAACTGCTTTAAAGTTCATATGGAACCAAAAAAGAGCCCGCATCTCCAAGACAATCCTAAGTCAAAAGAACAAAGCTGGAGGCATCACGCTACCTGACTTCAAACTATACTACAAGGCTACAGTAACCAAAACAGCATGGTACTGGTACCAAAACAGAGATATAGACCAATGGAACAGAACAGAGTCCTCAGAAATAATACCACACATCTACAGCCATCTGATCTTTGACAAACCTGAGAGAAACAAGAAATGGGGAAAGGATTCCCTATTTAATAAATGGTGCTGGGAAAACTGGCTAGCCATAAGTAGAAAGCTGAAACTGGATCCTTTCCTTACTCCTTATACGAAAATTAATTCAAGATGGATTAGAGACTTAAATGTTAGACCTAATACCATAAAAATCCTAGAGGAAAACCTAGGTAGTACCATTCAGGACATAGGCATGGGCAAAGACTTCATGTCTAAAACACCAAAAGCAACGGCAGCAAAAGCCAAAATTGACAAATGGGATCTCATCAAACTAAAGAGCTTCTGCACAGCAAAAGAAACTACCATCAGAGTGAGCAGGCAACCTACAGAATGGGAGAAAATTTTTGCAATCTACTCATCTGACAAAGGGCTAATATCCAGAACCTACAAAGAACTCAAACAAATTTACAAGAAAAAAACAAACAACCCCATCCAAAAGTGGGCAAAGGATATGAACAGACATTTCTCAAAAGAAGACATTCATACAGCCAACAGACACATGAAAAAATGCTCATCATCACTGGCCATCAGAGAAATGCAAATCAAAACCACAATAAGATACCATCTCACACCAGTTAGAATGGCGATCATTAAAAAGTCAGGAAACAACAGGTGCTGGAGAGGATGTGGAGAAATAGGAACACTTTTACACTGTTGGTGGGATTGTAAACTAGTTCAACCATTATGGAAAACAGTATGGCGATTCCTCAAGGATCTAGAACTAGATGTACCATATGACCCAGCCATCCCATTACTAGGTATATACCCAAAGGATTATAAATTATGCTGCTATAAAGACACATGCACACGTATGTTTATTGCAGCACTAT